GAACTCACCCTCAGTAGTGAAGGCTCATGAACCCACACCCAATCTCAGCCCCAGTGATGGGGAACTCACCCTCAGTAGTGAAGGCTCGTGGACCCACCCCTTGTTGATGGGAACTCACCCTCAGTAGTGAAGGTTTGTGGATCCACACCCAACCCCAGCCCCAGTGATGGGGAACTCACCCTTAGTATTGAAGGCTCACAGACCCACCCCTTGGTGATGGGGATCTCACCCTCGGTAGTAGGTCACATGGTCATGATAATTTTCCTTCCTGACATATTTCCTTCCTGGTAGCTTTCACCCACAAGTCTATAACTATTCTCAGAGATTACCCAGAACAATGCTAACTCTTCCTGGACCAGCCAGCTTTTCATCTCTTGCTCCTTCTCAGTCCTCTCTATTTCTATGCTGTCCAACTCCTTTACCTTCTGACCCTCTGTAGCTTGGGCACAGCCCCCACATTCTGACCCAGGACCATACGTTCGAGGATTTGCCCTGGACTGTGTATATGGACAGATAAGCGAAGACCGCTGCACTGGGCGGCACAGCCCTTTCGTTCACTGTGTGAAATAGTTCGTTCCGATTGCCAACTTCATTAGGCTGAGAAATATTTCAGAGATAAAGCCCACCTCTGCAGGTGTCGGTGAGAGTGCTCCCAGCAATAATCAGATGGCTTGAAGGGTATGACCTCACCAGTAAATAATTGACTTGATGAATTCATAATATGGCATTGATGGGAGGTGGTGAAATAGGAGTATGGCCCATTGAAGAAGTAGGCACCTGGGGTATGTCCTTGGGGTCATGTACTGGGTCTCTTCCTACATCCTGCCTCCACTTGCTGATCAGCCATGGAGTGACCAGCTGTTCTTTCCCACAAGTTCCTGCCACCACAGTGTTCTGTGCAACCTTCGAGGCTGAACAGTAATGGGCTAAGCCCTCTGAAACCATAAACCAAAAATAAACATAACTTCCCTAAAGCTATCTGTATCAGGTATTTTAGTACTGGCAACAAAGGTTAACCAATACATTAGATTAAGTATGGACTGAGGTGTGGCCGTATGAAAACACCGCTCTGGGCATAGGGCACTGTCATAGGGAAACAAACAAACCTGGAAACATCCAAAGTGCACACAAGAGGTGACTGTCAAGTAGATGCGCTAAAACCATCCAGCCAGTGGGAGGCTGTGCAACTCCTCTTAATGAGGTCATCCTGTCCAAAAGATGCCCATACTATGTCGTGAAGCAAGAGGAGGGGCCGGGCTTCCAGAACAGTTTGCGTCCTATGAGAGTGTTTCAGTTCCTGATACAATCCCTGGCCCAGACAGGTGTCTTTAAAAAAAACTTTAAATGGGACATGAATGTCCAGATGTGTCAGGTGAGAGAGACTTCAGGCAGAATGGAGCTCCATGGGGCTAAGGCCTCATTTTGTGTATACTCTGTTGCTGCTAACCCAGCTGGAAAGGGTGCCGACTTCAGATGAGCTGCCTCCTTCCTGGCACACACTGTTTATGGGCAGCTAGCTTGCCAGAGCAATGGGTTGGAGCATCTGGGCCCCGTAGTTACTCTCTTCCTACATCTTGGATTCCACAATCCCCAGTTCTTGACAACTGACCCCTCCCTTGGAAGTACATCATCAGACACATCCATTTTGTCCCTGGTGTTCTTGAAAAGCACAGCGTATTTGTGAAGGCAGCCCAGTCCTGTGCACCCCTGAGGACCAGGAGGCTCAGGTCCTCGGTTCAAGGCACAGCCCTCTCCCTACCCGCTGTACCATGAATTTCCTACTTACCAGGTAAGGAGGTGAGCACAGAGGCAGCTCCAAAGCAGCCTAGCACCACCCACGCTCACCCCAGCCCACCCTTCCATCCGGAGCCAAGGCTGCCTGTAGGCTCTTCAAGTGAAGCGCTCACCTGCCCTGACATCTTTGAAAGTCACACATTTGTTCCCCGCGGGGCGGGGGGGGGGCGCATCTCAGAACCCAACCTACCCCAGGAACTTCAGAGAGGTGTTGCTCTTGAGTCCCTGGGCCAGCACCTGGGCTCCAGCAGCCGTGATGTGATTGTTGCCCACCCTGAAAGGAAGACACAGAAGTTCAAAGAAAGTACAGCACGCTGGTCCCCGGCCTCTCCTGGGGTGTGGCAGTGGGCATGCTCTCCTGCAGAGCTTACCGACATCGTGACTCCTACCACGGTTCCTGCCCACTTGGACTTGGCTTTTCCAAGTCCTGGGCAGGAGCTGCAGCAGAAAGCTGTTTCTGAAAACTGGTTTCCCTAGGAATTGTCTTCCTAGTTTCAACTGTCCTCAGTCTACACCCCAGGACACCCCTCCCGCATGACTTCAAACCCACGGTCACCCCGGGGGTGCGACTGGCCTATTCTGAAAGGGCTGGAAAAAAGAGGAATCTGAAGGTTCTCTGACATCACCAAGGAGACTGCAGGAGGGGAGAAAGCAGGACCAAAGGGGTATCAGGAATCAGCAAGGACAAGACCACGAAATGGCTCTAGCATAGTTGAATCTACCCCACCACCACCAGTTCAGAGTTGCCATCCGAGACAAGCCTTCCAGAATAATTACAATACATTTCATCTTTCCAAGACACTTTAAGCCACTGTGGCTCACTACAATCTTATGGGGCAGGTATGACCACCTCATTCCAAAAAGTATGTGTACCAAGGAAACAACCCAAGACCTCTGCTGGACAGATTAGGTTTGGGAGCACCCCAATGGCTTCCTGAACTCTCTCAGAGCTGCTCCGAAATCCAAAATACTTCCTCCCATCCATCTCCTTCAGGCAGGGTCAGTCCCCAGCCTCCCCAGCTCCCTCCCCGTTTTCCCACCCGTGGGCATTTTCTGCTCATATATTCCCTTCTTTGAGGACTGAACTAACATAAGGATGCACAAGCTGGAAGCTTACATAATTTACCCACGATCCTTCAGTCTCCGAGCTTACTATATAAAGCATGTACTGTACCAGCTCTTTGTGTGTGTTAACTCTATCGTGACGGCCTTTCAGATGGCTCTGAGTACAATCCTCATTTTAAGGAAAGGCGAGGACAAAAGCATTATCTGACCCAAGGCCATGCAGCGAATAAGGGTTCAAATCTCTGGGCTTCTAGATTTGAATCAGGGGCAGCTTAGCTCCAGAGCCCCAGCGTTCAGTCACAGTGACAGTCCCATGTGCTGACCGCAAACCTAGGTCTCCAGTTCTGAGTGCCAGAGCCCATGCTACCCACTGACTTCCCTAGATGGCTGGACCAGGTAAGTATGGGGAAGCAGGCAGCAGTGACAGGACAGAGCTTTCTGTGTAAAGTCGTACCTGTGGCCTTGGTCTTTGTAGCCATGTCTGAGGTGAGCTCAATGACCAAATTTTAAAAGGACATCCCTCATCCCCAAAGGCAGTCAGCTAATAATAATAATAATAATAATAAATAATAATAATAATAATAGATGGTGTTCTCTTTGCTTTTGCCTCAAAAATCATAAGGGCATTATGGGGGAGAGAGAGAGACTTGGGGCATATTTGTTGATCTCTAATAGGAAACAAATCCAAGTTGAGGGCAGGAACATCAGGTGGCATTTCAAACTCGCCTAATGAGTGCTGAGGAAGGTTTGGGGCACGACCCAGCACCTGGGTACCACGGCTGTGGTAGCAAGCACAGGTTTGGTGTGCATCCGAAAGAACTTGCAGTCTTCATAGACACTTCATAGACACTGGGGGTGAAAGGCCTAGAAACTCTCCACCCTGGGGCCCAAACCTCCAAAAGAGGAGATCCTCAGCCTCAGCAGAGCAGAGCAGGCCATGGCATCGGAGAAACAAGCTCAAAGTGAGACCCTTTCCTGGATGCAGTCCAGGGTCACCGGCCACTGTGGGTCGCACCATGGTCCAGCCCGGATCACCTGAACTCCGCTGTGAGGAGCATCAGATTCAGAGCGTAAGGGGGCGCAGCGCTCACCTCAGTGACAAGAAGTTCTGTCTGTGTGCAAGGAGCTTGGCCATGGAGCAGGCAGAGCCGTCCGTGAGCTTGTTGTTGAAGAGACTGCTGGGTTCCGGGGAAGATGGAAACAAATCACATGACCAGCAAGCTAACCCAGGGTGTCTTCCTCTCTTCCCAGGAGCCACCCTGCCTCCTCCAGCCAGGCCACACCTGGCCCACCCCATCACCCACTCATAGCTGCCTCAGTGGCCATGCCCAGCCCAACTCACGCGAGCTTCTGCAGCTGCTCACAGTGCAGCGCGTACTCGATCAGTGTGCAGAGACCTCGGTCTGAGATGTTGTTATCTCGTAAACTGAAAAAGACATCATTGGTTCAGTTAAAAGTAGAGCTGATGAGATACCCCCAAAGAGATGCTCATCTCCCAAATGACAGCCTCACTGTGCTTCTGGGAACAGGAAGGACAGAGAGTATGGCCCATGCCCCTCCCTCCCAAATCCCTGGCCAGGGGAGCTGATGGTAGGGGACAGTCCAAGGGGCGGGGACTTTGAGGGCTGACTAAAGAACACTGGGGTCTTTGAGAGGCCACAGCGTTAATTCCAGTGCACATCTTGGCAGGACAGTGACCGTGGCGATCACCCCGCATAAGGCTGTGAGGTGGAAAGGAGCCGACCTGTGGGAGAAGCAGCCAGAACAGGACATAACTACCTAGCAAGCGGATGGCAGTACCAGTTAGGTAGACACAGTGGCTCAAACCTTGAAAATAGTCCTGGGTTTGTGAGCACTGCTCACCTCCCTTTGCCCATCAAAGCCCCTGCACGTTGGCAAGCCTCTCCGGCTCCTTCAGGACCCTGGATCACAAGGGCATCTGAAAGTTTCCCTGCATGGAACTGGCAGCCCAGGAATCTGTGCTGGGTGAAATCAGACACCTGTGTATGTTAACAACCATGCCCACCATTCTTTACCTTCAGGCAAACTTAGGTGGCCCTGCCCGGATGGTTAGGAGCTCAGGTGCCAGTCCCCCTCAGCGGGAGGTCCCAACCTTGACCAGCTGTTCACCAGCTGTCCTAGTTTGCTTCCTGTGGCTATGATAAAACACCAGGAACCAGGAACAACTTAATGGAGGCACTCATTTATTTTGCCTTATGGTTCTAGAAGGACAGGAGTCTATCATGGCAGGCAGGCCCAGCATCGGGTAGGCACGAAGGCCAGAGCATGAGAGCTTATATCGTCAATGGTAAGAACAAAGAGAGAGTGATCTCCAAGTGGCAAGGTCTTTAAACTCTCAAAGGCCGTCCTCATTGACATGCTCCTGCCAGCAAGGCTGTATGTACCTCCTAACTTCCCCCAAACTTCGCTGCTAAATGGGGACCAATTAGACTTGCTAGCTGCAGTTCCCTTCATCCGCAAAAAAAGATATGACCACCCTCAATAAACTGTGCCCATACAGCCCCCTGAGCACCATACCTGGCAAGAGCCACCTGGAATCATAAATACATCCATGTGCCAGGCATTGCTCTACATACAGTACCACTGCTCTCACCCCAAGCCCATGCAGTAGGTCATACTGTTATGTCCTCAACAGAGAGCTCATCAGGCACAAATAAGTGGCCTGACTTTGCTGAGGTTGCACAGTGCTGAAAGGGTCGAGCCTAAGGATCGGGCTGCTAGCCTGCCCTAAGCACCACATTCTCTGCAGCCTCTGCAAGGCTTCTCTCAGGCTCTCAGAGAAATGGTTTTTTGAGCTGCAGGTCATATGACCTCTTAGTGAGTGCCACTGAGAATTCTGAAGGTCCTGAGCAAGATTTAAGAGCTGAAATAGAACAGATGAAAGAAAGCAGAGTGAGGGGCTGGAGAGATGGATTAGCAGTTAAGAGCACTGGCTGCTCTTCCAGAGGACCCGGGTTCAATTCCCAGCACCCACATGGCAGCTCACAACTGTCTGTAACTAGTTCCAGGGACCCCCAACACTTTCACACAGATATATACCCAGGCGAAAGCACCAATGTACACAAAATAAAAAAATTTTTTTTTAAAAAAAAGCAGAGTAAGTCAGAGCTAATAAGGGAAGTCGTTTCCCAAAGCTCTTGTTTCGGTTCTATGCGCCTGTGCATTCTCTCTGGGTGGAACAGAACCGAAACCATCAGCCTCGAGGCAGAGAGAGCAGAGTCTACAGAAACCTGCATAGGAGCACTTTACATGCAGGGTTTCTTAGAGACGAGAATTTCAGTTGGCATGGAAACCCTTCCAATGAAGAAGATGCAGACTCACACTGTGGGAGAGAAGCCTGCTCCTTCTTCCCTTCCACTTTCTTTTCTCCCTCGTTGTGGCTGTGTTTTACACACACACACACACACACACACACACACACGAAATGTCAACCACTTCCCAGTTGTACATAGGTTAAGAACGGTAGAGCTTGGTCAAGGGCCTTAACTGCTGTGTTCAAATCCTCTTTCTCTTCCTAACGTAAATCCCCAAGGTGATTTACGTATAAAATGAGAAGGTTCGTTTGGACACACACTTTTAGAGATGTCAGTCCATTAGATGGCCTTATTGCTTTGGGGCCTGTGTCAAGGCATCATATCATGACTGGAAGGTGAAGGAGGGAAAAAGTATACATCTCCAGCCAGGGAATAAAGTGTAAAGAAATGAACTGGACTCCTGTAGCCCTACGAGGACACACCTCCAACTACCTAGACGTCCCACAATGCCCCACTCCTTAAAGACTACACTTCCCAACCCATGGATCCCCGAGAAGCATACATCCATACACAGCAAGCGCTCAATGTAAAAGAAGCTGGCTCCTGCATATTCTCACAGGGTAAGACTTCTGGCATCTGAGGATGCTTGTTACAGTTTCCAAGTCTAAGCCTACCAGACAGGAATTACTGTGGCCTGGGAATCTCCTATTCAACAAGCATCTTTTCATGATGCAACAGCCTCCCAGACCCATCAGCATGCCACAGGATCATATGAGTAACATGGAGAGAGGACCATTTAAGCATTCCAGAGATAGAGGCTGAGCTTGGTAGACTGTATCTGTAACTCCGGTACCAAGAAGCTAGGACAAAAAGATCGTAGATTTGAGATCAGCATGGATTGGTTGAGGCCTCATTAAAAAAAAAATCCAGAGATGACTTGCTCTGAAGATTATCCAGGCCAGCGTGGCTAGTCTTCTGAGGTTCGTGGTTTAAAAGTATGGCCCCACTATCGAGGAAGGTGCACACTCAGATTTCTACCAGAGCAGCTTCAGCATCCAGGTGTGCAAATTCCCAGTCAAGGAACCATACCGCTCCCTTCCCGAGGAAATGGCACATGGTACAGGTCATGTCCACTCATCTCGTGGTCAGAACCATTCTAGTCTCTTAGCTCTTGATGCTGGGAGGCAGATACCCTAAGATGGCATCAGGCGGTCTCAGCCTCCTGAGACACAATACTGGAAAGACAAAGGGGCAGAGGGAAGGGGCCGAACTGGGCTTTCTAACGTCTGATGCATCCCTTCCTCAAGACCCTCTCCAGGTCTTCTCTCAGCCAGTGAATCCTCCCTTGCCTCAGGTCTTTCTCTAGCGCCCTTCCTAATTCCCATCCACAATTCTGCAGTTGCTTCCATAGACTTTCTTCCTATTTCCCAGCTTAAGGGTAACATCTGTTTCCTCAAGACCCAGATGGAATTATTCATATTTCTAGCATATACTAGAAATGTATATACACTAGAAATGTATATATATATACTGCTCCATATATTGTACACTGTGTTATAAACGTGCCACATCGGTCCCTGTAGAAGGGTTAGTCAAGTCCCCACAGTCTCACACCGGTATCTGTGTGTTGTGGCTTTGTCTCAGAGCAGATAAGCCATCCTAATACACACAGGAATCTTGCCTTTTGCTCAGTTCAACTAAGGTTATCTACAAGGAGCACCAACGCCCCAGGAGGCTGCTTCTAGATCTTAACTGTAATGTACAACTTCCTCTTTCTGATAGGCTCTTAAAAAAGTAGCAGGAGCTCCCTCTCAAGACAAAGGACAAGAGAGCTGGGAGCTGCGGTCACGCTGGTTGGCAGGCCTGGGCGGACCCTCTGCCTTTGTCTGACCCCAGGCGTGGAAAGAGCGCCACACATTCAAGAGCACAGACCTTCCAAAGGGCAGAGCCTCATGCTTCAGCCACGGAGCAGAAAGCCACATGGGTAACAGAAAGTCCTCCACCCGCTTTCTCTCAAGACCTGAAATTCCATATTGGTGAGACTTTAAAGACTCTAATGGGGTTCAAAGCCTTTCTGATTTGAAGTGGTCCCCAGTAAAGACATAAAACTTTGTATGGGCCCTCAAGACTTTCCCAGTGCACCCACAGGCAGGGACCAGGAAATCTGGAACCAGAAAGACATGATTTGTGAAAGCCATCCTTGTTTCCTCTACAATTCAGGACGAGGTACTTGACTTCTGTGACCCTCAAGTAAAGGGTCATGGGGGTGCTAATAGCCCGGCTGAGCCCAGCGTGGTTGTGGGACTAGATGAGGTGATTTCTGGAAGGTGTGGCACAGTGTTGAGCACAAAACTTGGAGAGTGGCTGTGATAGCCAGTCTTGACTGTCAACTTGACACACTTGGGGAAAGGGAACAACTGAGGAATTGCCTCCATCAAATGAGCCTGTGGATATGTCTACGGGTCATTTTCTTGATGGCTAATTGACGTAGGTAGACCCAGTCCACTGTGGGTGATACCGTTCCTAGGCAGGTGGATCTGGGGTATAAAGAAGCTAGCTGAGCAAGCCAGAAGAAGCAAGCCACTAAACTGCGTTCCCCCATAGTTTCTTCTTCACCCCCCTTCCCTGGCTCCATAGATGATGAAATAAACCCTTTCCTCCTTAAGTTGCTTTGGTTAGAATAGCATACCACAGCTACAGAAAGCAAGCTAGGACAGCGGCCATCATTATCTGTGCTGAAACCAAGGTCCAGAAGAGAAAAGGGTCTGGCTGACGTACGAAGGGTGGCAGACATGGGTTTGAACCCAGACTTCTGGATTTCAATTCTGTGTTAGGCTTCGACATCTTAACTTGACAATAGCATTTGCCACAGGGCAGGTTAGGTAACTAATTCACCATCTTTACTGAGGTATTCCTTGCCTAGTCTTGTGGTTTACTTACTTCTTGTCTCTAAATTCCTCTTACTGACTCTGTTACATGTGTGTTTTTGCAGCGCCATGCTTTCGGTAGGGCCCACCAAAGCATCCACTTCACCCAGCTCCTGTTTAATATATGTGTGTGTGCGTGCATGTGGCTTTTGAGTTAACTTTATGTGTGAACATAAGTTAGCTTTGACTCTGTGTGTATGTGTATAAAACTTAAATTCAACTCTGTATACCTGCACATGGCCTTACGGTTCAAAGATGTTTTCGAAGCTAGCCTACAGCCTTTCCTGTGAGCTGTTCTCCACTATCGTCGGCTCGACCGCTAAGCTTTTACCGCAAACAGCTTTCTCTTCTTTGTCTCTCACAAGTACAAGTCTCACCTGTTAAGTTAGAAACCAGTACAGTCAAGCTTGGACTCAGCTCTCCAGGCAGATCCTATATGTAGCCACAACTTACCTATCTATACCCCACAAGCAGCCCTCAAGTGCTCAGAGATCTGGGGAATATGGCATTTAAATATTTAATTATTAAAAGGCTTTCCATAACAAAGAGACAGGCTGGCTCCTAGCAGCAGCACTCTATTTCCTCCAAAGAAGACAGAAGACAAATGGGCACAGAACAGCGTCCATCTGCAATTTGCTTCAACTACCGAGCGCTGACCACTGGGTGAAACTGTCTTTCAACTAGACTGAAGATCTCCAGACAGTGGATAAAGGAAAATTAGGATTGACGCTGCTCAGTGCAAGGTAGGTTTGTCTTCCTACAGATTTCATAATCCACGGGATCTTCTAAAACCTGGCAGGCCCTGAGCTAAACAGCGGAAGGCAAATACAGTCCTGATGCCCCTGCCCTCCATGATCACGGAGAACGCTGAGGAGTGGCTGTAGGTAGCCGATCGAGTAAGTTATCTGTCATTTTTTTAAATCAATAACTCAAGTAAAATTTTATCCTTCTCAAAGATCTCCGATGCAGTTTGACAGCTGAGAAGTTTTGTCAGTTTAAAAAGACAACCTCACCAGACAAATTTCAGCACAACTTCTTAACATGTTCTAAATAAAAGGTGCTTTAAGATACACAAATGCAGGTTACTAAGGTGTGAGGACAAATGAAAGTTATCAGATTTCTCTCTCACGCTGCCTTTTATAGTCTTAATCTATTAATCTAATTCTGGCAGAGTACTACTCTAAAGATATTTTTCATTGTGCAAAAACATCTGTCACTGTCATTCTGACGTAAATATGCTGCTGTTTAAATAATGCATGCCTCTAAAACTTATGTTCTACAAACTCAAGAAATCTTGTGAGTTCCAGGGAGTCAAACTGAAGGATTCGCCTTAAATAGATCAGATACACCCCTCTCAAATCCTGAAAATTTTTTTCTTCCTAAACCTAACCTTGTCCTCTGCTCTGCCAACACCTTGCCAGGTCCAAAAGACACTGGACAGTTCCACACCATAAATCTTGGACAGGAGTGATGCAACCAGCTACCCCAGGATATAACCAGTACCCAGCTTTCTCAGGCCCCCCAAGTAAAATTCAACGCCCACAAATAAGCAGGAAGCAGTCTTGAGAACCCACTGTCCCAATTCCCTCAACCTGCCATGCATCCCTAACTCCCAGTTTTTTTATTGTAAGAGAAAGGCAGGAATGTTATAATCTGCTGGCCGGGCCTGTCACCTGGGTACCCTGTCCCTTTAAGAGACAAGCCCCGGCTACTCCCAATCACCCCACCCCTTTCCACCCCCTCTTCAGCTGGTTCTCTCTCTGTCCCCTCTTCTTCAGAGACAGTGTCTGCCTTTCTCTCTCCTCCCTTTTTCCTCTTCTCCCCCTTCCCCGCTCCCTCCGTAACCCACTAAATAAACTCTACACCCAAGCTCTCTCTGCACAGCATAACTGTCTCTCACCCACCAAGGTCGGTCTCCTACCCGCATTGGGATGGGACCCACCTAGGCCTAGGGTGACCTGTGCCACCCCTGATGGGACTGGCCTCGGGTCACCCAGTTTTATAAATGATAACGCTTGTCACACTCACTACAGCGCTTTGCAGACACCAAGGCAGGGTAGCAGCTGTTCCACGCCAACATCTCCAACAGAGTTATGGTCCAGCTGAAGGGCCACAGGCCGCTGGAGGTGCCGCAGCACAAAGGCCAGGGCAGCGCACTCTGCAGGGCCCACTCTGCAAAATGTTAACTTCAGGTGCCCAATGTCCAAGCGACGCACAGCCTCCTGTGCCAACTGTTCCTCCTGCATCTCATACAAGCACCGGATGAGCCAAATGAAGCCAGGCATGGCATGCATGCTCTTGGCCTCACCGGGCACAGCAGGTGGGATGTTGTGGAAGTGTTCCCGAAGGCTTTGGGCCAGACGTGAGCGGGCACATGCGTGGCGCTGGAGTAGCACCCTCTTAGGGATCTGGCATGCGACCAGCAGGTCCCGATGCTCCTTGGACAACAGACCCGCTAGGAAGGCTGCTGTGATCTGCAAGTTGTGTGGCTCAGCTTTCTGTAGGAGAGCCACTTCGCTGCCCTTCTTGACTCTGGAGCCCTGGATACACAGCGTGGGCAGCAGCCTAATCAGCAGCGAGCTGCCCAGCCGGCCACAGCCGAAGAGGTGCCTGAGGGAGGCTGCCGCCGTGTCCGCACTGACTGCCAGGTAGAACGCGGCGAAAAAGCACTGGAAGGTAATGTGCAGGAATTCCAGGGGTGCCTTGTTCCCGGGCACAACGCTTTGAGCACGCACCAGGAAGCCAAGGGAAATGTCATCAGAGTCAACCTGTGCTGCCTGGAGCTGCTGGGCTGAAAACACATAGCAGCTCAGGGCCAGGCCCCGGAGAGCCAGGTGGCCAAGGTGCAGGAGGGTGGAAAGCCGGCTTTGAAGGAGCCGAGGTCCCAGACCGAGGGGGTAGGAATCTGGGGAGGAGGCATGCAGCAGGAAATGCTGTAGGATCAGGAGGTACATGTCTGTGCTGGTCGTTGGGAACTCCCCATTCTGCAGCAACAGTTCCTGGTGGCATCTGGACACCATCCATGAGAAGACAGGGAGGTGGCATAAACCGTGCAGGGATGATGTGGCTTGCAGCAGGCGGATGAGGCGGTCTGCCACTCCGGGCTCCCGGTGGTGCTTTCTCAGGTATAGTTCGATGCCTTCTTCGGAGAAGCCCTTGAGGTGGCACTCGGTCCGGACGAACTTCCTGAGGAGCGCTGACACGGCATCTGGACGACTGGTCAGCACCTTGCAGGCGTTCTTCAACAGGTTTCCCTGAAGGAGGTTGAAGAGCAGGGTCTGGACTGAGGTGGGGTCAGTTGGGGAGCAGTGACGCTCCCGGTCTGTGAACCGGAACTTGAACTCATCCAAGCCATCGAAGGTTAACAGGACACGGTCAGGGTGGTCCAGGAGGAACTGGAAGACTTCATGCTGAGCGGCATCAGGCCAACAGCAATGCTCAAAGAGCAGCGTCCGTAGAGACAGCGGTTTGGCCATGCACTGCAGCTGCCGGCAGCTGAACGGGAAAACGAAGAGAAACTCCTGGAAGTTCTGCCCCGTGGCCCACAACAAGTGCAGCCGCTGCAGAAGAGTGCTCTTGCCGCTGCCTGCTTCACCCACCACCAGGACGGTGTCTGCATCCTTGTTCAGATGGTCATGGGTACCAAAGAGTTCCTCCAGGCCCAGGATGGCGGGACTCTTCTGCCGGGCCCCAGCCGTGCCCACCTCTGTCCGCAGCTCCAAGATGTTCTCCGTGTATATATCCTCCAGGCAAAGATTCTCCGACCCATCGTAAGTACTGAGGAAGCGAGACTGAGCTGACACCATGGTCCTCAGCTTCGAGATGAACCTCTGGCACTCGGCAGCTGGGGTACAGAACAGGAAAGTGAGGCTGGGATTGTGGTTATAACGGGACCTACGCAGAGTCACCTACACTGGAGGTGTGATATATGTATGACTCAGAGAGCTAGTGGGCACCTATCCTGCCTTGACCACTTACAAGCTGTGGGCTTTGGGTGCAGCCACAGAAGCTTCCTAAACCTGTCTCCTCCCTGCAAAGCAGGAAAAAACAGTGATAATGCATGCCACCTGGTTAAGTCTAGCATCCAACACAAGACATTGGTCAGGATCTGTGTCCTGTTTGTCTGTTCCTGTTGTGTGGCCTGAGCTACCATTCAGTCTCCGCTGCCAGTTTCTGAGGGAAAATAGGGAACGGGGCTTAGATGTCCAACTTACTATGTCTGACACCTGGGCCCACCACCTGCTTGGCAAGCTACTTGACCTTGCTAGATCCAGTTTTCTTCTCTATAGAAACAGGGACTAGTAAGGCCTTAATGTGAAATGTCCCCACTGGCTTATGTGTTTGTATGTTTGGTCCCCAGCTGTCAGCACTGTTTTGGTAGGTGTGGAACACTTAGGACACAGGGCTAGCCGGCTGACACAGTCCCTTGGGGTGGGACTCAAAGGTTACAGCCTGGCCCACTTCCACCTGAGCTCTCTGCTTCCTGTCTGTGGCTGTAATGGAATCAGCCTCTCCGGTTACCACTCCTTGGGCCAAGCTGCACCAGCCAGCAGTCTTCCCGGCCACCACAGACAGTCCTAAAGCAATGAGTTAATTCAGTTAGGTATTCCATACCACGACAAGAAAAGTGGCCACGGGCAGTGTCGGAATCCGATTCCTGAAACCCACGCCTCTGTTACCTTATATGGCTAAATGGACTGGCCAGAAGCAGGGGCCGACTCTGAGAACTCAGGGTCACCGGGCGCCTGTGCCAAGTCATTAACAAGATCTATCCTTCCTTCCTGCCCCTCTGTACCCAGGGCCCTACTTCCTCCTGAGGGCTTAGTTCCTCTTTCAGGAAATAGGGAAGGGCTGATCAGAGGCCCAGACTGGCAGGACGTCATAGGACATCATAGGACGTAAGCATCTTCACCCACCATGGCCTCAATGGCCCCAGGAAAGCACCAGCTCATTTATTCTCAACTCAGAAGCAGATTCTTGTCAGAAGCTCTTAGCCCATAGAAGTACCTGCAGAGCCAAGCCGGCGCCCCATGCTGATAATCCCTTCTCTCTATTTTCTTCTTTGATATGGGCCTCACTATGGAGCCCAGACTAGCCTCAAACTAGCAATCTTTCTGCCTAAGCCTCCCTAGATCTGGGATTAGAGGTTGGGCCTCCACACCCAGTATTCAAAGCCTCTTGTTCCCAAAGGTGAGGATGCTTATAGCTCTTTCTACTCTTTGGCTATGTAAGGAGCACTGACCAGATACCAAAAGATACACCGCCTCCTTTCCAATTTCCTGACTGACAACGCCAGTCTCTAGCATTACCAATATTACTAAAAGCTTAAAGCAAACCTAGGTCTGGCAAGATGGCCCAGTGTGGGGCAAAAGCACCTGTCACCAAGCCTGATGACCTGAGTTTGATCCCCAAAATCCACATGGTGGAGGGAGACAGCCAAGTCCAGCAGGTTGTCTTCTGACCTCCACAAACATGCCATGAGGCATTCACATGCATGTGTATTCACACACGCACACACACGCACACACACACACACACACGACCTTGAACTCCTGATCTTTCTGCCTCTAC